AAGTTTCTTGGGTTTCAGTAAAGATTTAAATGTATTCTGGCTAAAGAATTTTTTGAAATGTTCATATTTTTAATAGGAAAAGAGTCTTACTTCTTTAGGCCTTGGGTGTAACAGGAATGTATACTACTTTGCTTTTATAGAGTTAAATTTAAAACTGTCTGGGAAAAAAATCTGAGTCATATACTAACACTTTGGTTTCTTATATCCCAGTTTGTGTGGCATACCAATGACGTAATTGAGTCTTTAAAATGATAAAATGCAATGAGGCTTTCCAATTACTTTAAACTTTCCAGAACAAAGTTTGATCTCATTTTAATTAAAAATTTCTTATGAAAACATAAGTGCTTTTTCCCAATTAAGAGAAGTGTTACAATATAGAAACATTGGTAGCATATAATACAAAAAATTCATGTTAGTGAATATTTATTAAAAACCAGTTAACATATGTTTTCCTTTGCTTTAAAGTTTCCTGTTCACATCTGTTATTTTTCTACTACTCTATGTAATGGGAATAGCATGCTGTGATGGAGACACCACTCGGAGAGAACAACCATGTTTTCTATGAGTGTGTCCATTCAAAAAAAAAAAAAAAAAAAACACTGTGGCAAAATAACACCGAGAAATAATCAGCATTCGCAGGGACAAACATCACTAACAAGATGTAATCTGCAATTTACTAATCTAATCATCCATTCAACAAATCTTTGAGCACTGAGCAGTGTACTAGATTCTGCCAAAAGTTAGGTCAGGAAATGGGAGAACTGACTGTGAATGTACTGTTTTCCTATGAGCTGTCCCACAGGGAACAAGGCATAAACCATACAACATGAAAAGGCAGAAGTAATAAAAACATGGTTAGCAAATGGTTGGGAAGAGATCAGCTGAATGGAAAATTCAGATAAAAAGAAGAGGTAATTATAACAGGGAAACTTACCAGGGATGAAGTTGAAGACTAAGACGAATAGAAAATATTGGGCCTATGGATGGAGACAGGATTGACTTCAGACTAGAAAACTGGATTTGGTCAAAAGGAAGTGGGACCAGGCTGAGCTACAGAGCCAAAGTCCTCAGGGGATGACTGAGAAGAGAACTTGTCCTTAGGGGAGAGCCTGTCTTCACAGATGCCCAAGACCAAAATCTGGCAACATGAAAGAACCCTTTATTTTCAGAGAGGCTCCCATCATGAGGTCTTGATTAGAAATCGAAGGTATGCAATTAAGTGCAGGATCTAAAGTATCATCCAGGTTTCCTTTTTCCCCCAATAATTTCTCGTAATTGTTGAACAGAGCCATGACTTTAATTCTCAAATGTAAGGCTACTAATCTATGATTGCTAATTTTTTTTGCTAATGTTCTTAATAAAAGGATGAACTTCAGAGCTCTGATGAACAATGCTCACCTCAAAGTTTATCTATGAAACAGTCAGCTTCCAAGACCTCCTACATATCTGCCCCCTCACAGCTGCACATCTGTCCCCCCGCTTCTACTTTTACCTTGTGAGACACAGCAACCTAACAGCAGAACCCCTTGTGCTATGAGACTGAAGTGAAGTATGACATGTACTTTCAAGAGTTAATGGTACAATAGTACAAATTTAACACATAAAATATTATCAACTAGTGAGTAAAATGTACAGGATGCTCTATACCCAATCCTGCTACACTCCCAACATAGGGACCAAATGATGCTCCCAAGACTTCCCTGTGTGTCCCAAGCAGGGTTGGTCTGCTGTGCCCACAGCACTGGGGGTCTCTGCTGTAAGCCTGGTTTCCCTCTGTCAGAAAACTGGTTCACTGTGTTGTATCTCTCCATAAACTGTATGCTCGCTCTTTCCATCTGTGTTCCCCACCAAGCACAATGCCTCATCCCCAGAAGTTAATTCCAGAAAGTCATTAACTGAAGTAACTCAACCAAGCTAAGTAACTAACTACTTACATCTGTAACGTGGATTACTAACCATGTTCACACACAACATCTAGCACAGGTACTAATGGCAGCAGGCTAAAGAGCTCTCCCAAGCTTCCCAGCACCATGTGACTGCCCTCTGGGATGAGACCACACTCCCCCCAGGACTCTCTCCAACTTCACCCACAAACACTGCAGTGTGAGGATATGCTCAACTACATGAATGAATCAAATTAGGTGTTCATTCCTTGAGTGCAGATTCCACAGGTCAGCATTCAGGCCCTCTAAATTCTGGTCCAGATTGGCTGTAACAGTCTTACTTTGCTCCTTCAACAGTTAACCACTATTTCCCAGACATCCTACTCTGTGTTGTTTACATATTTGCTCATCTCTCCTGTCCGGAAACCTTTCTCCCTGCTCTCCTCTATGAGAACTCTAATATTCCTTCAGACTCCAGTTCAAATGCCTCATCCTCCATGAATCTCTTGGATAAAAAGGAACAATGCATGGAGTCTATCCAGATTTGTAAAGGAAAACTTAAGTTTCAAAATCACAGATTGTTTTAAAAGATCAAACCATTGGGGCGCCTGGGTGGCTCAGTGGGTTGAATGTCTCTTGATTTCAGTTCAGGTCATGATCTCAGAGTTTGTGGTTTAAGCCCTGCACTGGTCTCTGCACTGACATCACAAAACCTGCTTGGGATTCCCTCTCCGTCTCTGTCTGGCCCTCCACGCACAGGTCCTCTGCCTCTGCCTCCGCCTCTGCCTCTCTCTCATTCTCAAAACAAATAAACATTAAAAAATCAAACCATTGCTATTTTGGCATACTGTGTAGGTAGGGATAACAAAGTATACCTGAATAAACAATTTTTTAGGCTATCTTCTTGGTTAAAAAAAAAAAAAAAAAAAAGCAGCACAGCAAGGTCATCACCCCAAACCAGTAGGGAATGAGGCTTTAGAGGCTTGACTAGAAGGAGATGTCATGCAGCAGCACCGAGTGCTCATGAACTTAACATGAGGCCAGCTGGAGTGGTCTGTTTTCTCTCAACTGACTGCTGCATGAGTCAGGCTGCGGGTAGACAGATAACTGAAGGAAACAGGGCTGGAGTTTACTGGACAAGGATGCGGATGAAAGGGCAGGACGTGTGCACACGGGTGACAACAGTAATGTGCTGTGGGGTCCGGGCTGCTAAGAGGAACTGAGTATACTGGAAGATACGAGCAAAGGGCAGGGAGGACACAGTGGGATCCACATATCTGGTTCCGCTGAAACTGGGCAATTACTACGGCTGGAATGCATACATGGAGTAGGCTGTGAAGACAAGTCAGGTGTTAAGGGAGCTGCACACTGGAAATGACAAGGTCCATGGCATGTGGGTGCATGGGAGGAAATGCCACTGAGGGGAACATCAGATCCGGGGTTCCTAACTCTGCTTAACTAACAACTTCAAATCCCACATAAACACATGATTACATTCCACACATTTTTAGTTTCTGACAGGAAAATAAACAAGAAACTAAGATGCTAAAGTCCGGGGCAGACTTTCTCAGATGGGGTCTATCAGAGACCATGATTTAAGAAACTGTTTTCTCAATTATCCCAATGATGAAAAATGGCTCCTACTGGTCTGGGGGAATCAGAAATAAGTCATTTCATGACACACAGTGACATTTTGACATTAATTCTCATGAAACCCCGAATGAGAAAGGCACAGAAAAATATCCTCAGAACAAAAGAGGTAGGATTCTTCTTTTTTTTTTTTTTCTAAACTTTTGCCTAAATAACAAATTTATTCCATCTGGATCACTTTATAATTTGCAAAGCACTTTTACATGCATACCTCATATGACTGTAACAACCACCAGTTGAGATAAGCAGACAAACGATTACAATTCTCATTTTATTGATGAGGCAAGAGGCATCTGTGTTACATGGCTTGACCATCACAGTGACAGCCTGAAATAAAGGCCTCAGGCTCCTCGGCCAGTATGCCATCCACCACTCACAACTTCAAGTTAAAAGTGTTTCTCGAGCTGAGAGCTCCCTCCTCTAAATCTTATCCACGCACTCTCCTACTCCCCGTACTGCCTGTCTCTGATTCTCCACCACACCTCAACTCCTGAGAGACCAGATAGTTTGTTGTCAGTATCGTTTATCTAGAACTTAACATAAAAACATTAGTGGAAAAAAACCTGTATAGAATAACCTATTAGAGGCTAAAATGTTGCAGACTGTAAATGTCGTGTGTATTTGGGATTTGAAGCAATTATTCAAATAGATTCAAAAACAAAATAATTAGATGCTGGAAATGGTTTCATGGGGAAAATGTGAAATCATCATTAGGTCTGGACAGAAAACACGAAGAGGAAACATGATAGCTATTTGTAATATCTCAAGCTCTTACTGAAGTGGAATGTTTCATATTCTTCTAAGGGCAGAAAAGAGCATCAGGAAACAGAAAAGAGCAGTGGAAAGGTGTCGGTTAACATTAAGTAAGACACAGAATCTCTCTTCTCATAGGCAGTGACCATCTCTAAAGGGACCAGATAGATAAGGAACCCCCAGCATTTTCAGGGAGGGGGTACCCAGCTGTGGGGTTGAGAGAGATCATGTTATTGTAAATCTACAGTAAGCAAGACAAACTAGGATTCTCTTAAAAGATGGTTATGTAGTCTGATACAATGCAAAATGTGATCTTTTTTTAAAGTGTATTTATTTTGAGAGAAGAAGAGAGAGAGAGAATGAGTGAGGGAGGTGTAGAGAGGGAATTCCAAGCAGGCTCCACATACCACCCCACGTGGGACTTGATCTCATCATGGTGAGAAATCAAGAGCTGGACGCTTAATCGACTAAGCCACCCAGATGCCCTATAACCTTTTTTGATACCACCTTATTGGTTCTCAAATATTAATTTTGGTTTGATCACTGGCTGTTCATTCTGGATATTCTTTTATTTCAGCACAGATATTATGCATTTTATGTAACTGTCAATTTGTATAAGAATTATTCTAAGTTTTACTCACTTTTCCCATAATATATTTCCTTTCTCCTTGTAATAGGACCCCCCCTCAAAAAAAAAAAAAAAAAAATAAGAACATGGGCTTTTTAAGTCCAGCATGTGTCCTTTTCTTCTTTTTTGGAGTCAAAGTATACTGCCAATATGAAAATTATCAATGGGATGAAGATTATGATCAAGAGCCAGATGATGTCTACCAACCAGAATTTCAATTTCATCAGAATGAGGACTATCAAGTTCGTTTTCATCAGTACATGTTAGGCTGTGCCACTGAATGCTTCTGCCCACCCAACTTCCCATCATCAATGTACTGTGACAATCGCAAACTCAAGACTATCCCGCGTGTCCCAGCTCACATACAGCAAGTCTATCTTCAATTTAACGAAATTGAGGCGGTGACTGCAGATTCATTCATCAATGCAACTCATCTTAAAGAAATCAACCTCAGCAACAACAAAATTACATCTCAAAAGATTGATTACGGTGTGTTTGCTAAATTGTCAAATCTACTACAACTTCACCTACAGCATAACAACTTAGAAGAATTCCCATTTCCGCTTCCCAAGTCTTTGGAAAGACTTCTTCTTGGCTACAATGAGATCTCCAGATTGCAGACAAATGCCATGGATGGGCTAGTAAACTTGACAATGCTTGATCTCTGTTTTAATCATCTTGAGGATTCCATGTTACAAGAGAACATACTAACTAAAATGGAAAAATTAATGCAGCTCAACTTATGTAATAACAGATTAGAATCCATGCCTCCTGGTCTGCCTTCTTCACTTATGTACCTGTCTTTAGAGAATAATTCAATTTCTTCTATACCAGAAAATTACTTCAGTGAACTTCCAAAACTTCATGCTCTACGAATGTCACACAACAAACTACAAGACATCCCATATAATATTTTTAATCTTTCCAACCTTATAGAGCTCAATGTTGGACACAACAAACTGAAACAAGTATTCTATATTCCAAGAAATTTAGAACACCTCTATCTAGAAAGTAACGAAATTGAAAGTATGTAAAATTTCTTTATTTTTTAAAGACAAAGAATAGTATTCTGACCTTTTAAAGAACAAATCTTTAAAAACTCTATGCTTTACACATTGCTGAAAATGATTGATTTGAAGTAGCTAGAGAAACGGCAGAAGCTGGCCTCAGAAAGGTGTGCTATGAAGTTTATACTCTTTTGTATTAAATCTTATCACTTTGAGCATTGAAAAGTAGTACTGTATATGAAAAAATGGGAGTATCCTGAGTAGTGGGACTCCAGGTGATTTTTACTTTCTTCTTTTTGAGATTGTTTCTACTAATAATTATTACTCAAATATTTGTTACATAATTAAACTGCCAATGAGGCCATCATTTTCTTAAAAATTTTAATTCCAGTATAGTTAATATATAGTGCTATATTAGTTTCAGTTGTACAATATAGTAATTCAATAATTCTATACATTACTCTGTGCTCATTAAGATAAGTATACTCTTAAAGCCATCAGTGATTTTGATAATACGTAATTCATTTATAGTTTATTTTATTATTTGACTACTATAAAAACTAAATATAATCCCACTTATAAGATTTTAACTAATAAAACTGTATCTCATATTTTAATAAATCCAATGTAGGATTTTAGATGTAATGCAGGAGGATTAATTTTTAATTTATATTTTTCAGATATCAATGTTACAGTGATGTGTCCATCTGTTGACCCATTACATTACCACCACTTAACATACATTCGTATGGACCAAAATAAGCTAAAAGAGCCAATAAGCTCATACATTTCCCTCTGCTTCCCTCTTCTACATACTATTTATTATGGTGAGCAAAGAAGCACTGATGGTCAAACAATACAACTGAAGACCCAAGTTTTCAGGAGATTTCAAGGTGATGCTGATAGTGAAGAACATGATGATCACCAAGAAGGTCCAGAACAAGAAGAAACAGAAGAAAACATTGACCCTCACTATTATGGAAGTCAAGAGTGACAAGAAACTATAGGTATACATTTATGATTTTATACATTATTATTCAATATAAATTTAACTAAACATGGAAAGCTTACAATAATATATCCAGAATCATGTATTAGTATAATATCAGACTGAATTTAAGTTCTTGGTAACATCTGCATCATTATATAGGATTCAAACCTACTTAAAATGATACAAGTCTTCAGAAATAGAAATCAGAACGACAAGTGGGAATAAAAACTAAACTTTAGGGGTGCCTGGGTGGCTCAGTAGGTTGGACATCCAACTCTTGATTTTGGCTCTGGTCATGATCTCACAGTTCCTGAGACTGAGCCCCCCATGCATAGGGCTCTGTATGGACCGCCTGGAGCCTTCTTGGGATTCTCTCCCTCTCACTCTTTCTCTGCCCCTCCCATGCTTGCACATGCACTCTCTCTCCTCAAAATAAATAAAATGAAATGTAAGAAACCTCTAAACTTTCAACATAACAGTATTATCAAGCTGAGAACAAAGTATGCCATCTCAATTAACAGTAACTGTTCTAAGAGTGATGAAAACAATAGTATTAGAAGCAGAGAACTACAGGCCCTCTACCTTGAATTACTAGGAGGGCAGTGTTGAGACGCCCCGGGTGACATTCATGTAAAGGGCAGCCATTCATTTAGTGGTAAATTGTTTTCTCTGACCTCGCCTCCAAAAAAGCTTTCACACTTGTATGAGAAATCTGACCACCATGACATCCACCTCTCTGGTCCTACCACTTAGAGCAACAGAGGATACTTTTGATTTTCAAAAGAGGCCATTCTACTAAGGATCGAACATATATAGTTTCATGAAATCAACTGGTCTTTGTTTTTCTCAGAGCACCAAAGCAACAGAATCTGTATTTGGATAACTGAAAACCAGCAAGTTATCTCATCACAATCCATATTTTAGCAGATTTCAGCAAATGTCCAAAACAATCTATCTTCCATTTTAACTGGAATAAATTTTTTTAATGTTTATTAATTTTGAGAGAGAGAATAAATAGGGGAGGGGCAGAGAGAGACAAGGAGACACAGAATCTGACGCAGATTCCAGGCTCTGAGCTGTCAGCTCAGAACCCAATCCGGGGCTCGAACCCACTAACTGTAAGATCATGACCCAAGCTGAAGTCGGACACTTAACCAAATGAGCCACCCAGGCGCCCTGAGATAAATGGTTTTATAGTAAACTCACTACAGAAAGTCTTTTTGTGTTGTAGTTACATAGAGTTACTAATAAATAACTGCTTTGTTCATAAGGTTAATGTAGCACACAACAATATGCCAGCATTATCAAAACACTCCCATCTTCCTAGCATGATAATATTAGAAATATATATGTGTATCAGCCAACATCTGCTTAATTAGCGCTAATGTTGAATAGAGTTCCTTTAAAGTTTGGACAAGCTTTGATATCTTCTTTAAAACCTTAGAAGAATCTATTATATGTAATCTTTCATTTTGAAGTATCTTAAATACGGCTTATAATGAAGAGGATGGAGCTTCTGTGATGACTTTCTTGATTTACCAGGCTAACATTTCAGGGTTCCTCACATGAGGAATAAACACAGACGGGGGCTACCTATGCGGGGGCCCCAAAGAATAAATGGTAACAATATGTACAACAGACAAGAATCAGACAAGTAAAACTTTATTTTAGGATTTTTTTTCAAGCGTAAGTCTTTATTTTGCTGGAGATAAAGTGTAAAATGAAGTCCCTAATGCTCTTTATTTCTTTGGGTAGGTTATCAGCATTTAGCAGAAAGAGAACACCCACCTGTCCCTAAGGACAAGCTCAACAATTCAGAATGAACACAAACACTCCATTCAATGAACATTCATGAAGTCATTTGGTTCGTAGGGTTTGTAACGAGGGCATGAGACAGAGAGCACATGTGCATCTGTGATACCACGAGATACAACGTGAGGGTAGCAGAGCAAAATGCTAATAATGTAGACAAAGCACACTTTCAACAGAAGTTAAAACAATTTTAAGGACCACCTCCCCCTGTATTAAAATTTTTAAAAATAGGATCATAAATTTAAATATTTATTATGAGCTAATATTGAAAAGTGCTATGGGTATTTCAGTAGATAAAAACAGTGTAACTATTTCTAACCTAAAACAATGGAAGATTTAATGAGGAGCCATCAAGGAAATGCAAATGAAAACTACAATGAGAGACACTTTCACATTCCCTGGGATGGCTAGAATCAAAAAGACAAACAAGTAACAGATGGTATTAGCAAGGAGGTAGAGGAAGTAGCCTCTCCCACACTGCTGGTGGGATGTCGAATGGCGCAGCTGCTTGGGGAAGCAGTCTGGCCATTCTTCAAAAACTTAGAGTCACTTATGCAGCAATTCCACTCCTAGATATAGATTTAAGAGAAACGAACACATATGTTCATGGAAAATGGAAACAAATGTTGGTAGCAGCACTATCCATTAATAGCGAAAAGGTGGACAGCACCCAAATGTCCATCAGATGATGAATAGATAAATAAAATGTGGTCCATATGGTGGAATATTAGTCACCCAAGAGAAGAAGTGAAGTACTGATACATCAGCCTATTTTATAGATGAGCCATGAAAACATCATGCTAAGTGAAAACTCAGTCACATATGACTGTATACTGCATGATCCCATTTGTATGAAGTATCCAAAAGGGGCAAATCTATAGACACAGAAAGACCACAGAGTGCCTGGGGCTGGGGCGAGGGGAAGAGTGGGAAGTGGGGAGTAACTGTTAATGAGCAAAGGGTATGTTTCTGGGGTAATGAAAATGTTCTAAAATTGATTGTGGTGATGGCTGTACAAGTCTAAAGATACTAAGAATTACTGAATCACAGATTTTAAAAGGGTGAACTGTATGAGATGTGAACTGCCTCAATAAAGCTGTTAAAAAATGTAACAAAGAAAAATCAACTCATTCAGGGGCGCCTGGGTGGCTCAGTCAGTTAAGCCTCCGACTTTGGCTCAGGTCATGCTCTCACGATTTGTGGGTTTGGGCCCTGCATCGGGTTCTGTGCTGGCAGCTCAGAGCCTGGAGCCTGTTTCAGATTCCGTGTCTCCCTCTCTCTCTGTCCCTCCCCTGCTCATGCTCTGTGTCTCTCTGTCTCAAAAATAAATAAATTATTTTTAAAAAATTAAAATTAAAAAAAGAAAGAAAGAAAGATCAGCTCATTCTAACACAAGGAAAGAAGGAAGAAAATGCTAACGTGGCAGTAACTATGAAAGACAATGTGAGCACAGACAGATGTCCTAACTATTTCTGGCCAGGACTCAGAGAAGTAGCTCAAATTTCAAGAGGTGGGACTGTGATGCGTGAGTAGGAACTGATGGCCAGGAGAGGGAAAAACAAACTCCGAGGTGAGATGAATATAAATATGTGGCAATTCCTTCCTTCACCTCTTACACTGCGTAAAAACAAAACACTCCAATTTTAAGAATTCTGGAGCCTCTGTTTATATCCTCCTAAACTGATTTTTTTCTAAGTTGATTTTTTAAAAATCCTCAGAGAACAGCTTTTGTGAAGAATAAAATTGCACAATTTAGCAATGCAAAACAAGGAATGTGAAATCTGATAAGCTCTGGCAGAAGTCTGATTTGGTAGTCCCAAGCCAGATGCCTGAGTAAGGTATGAACTCTGAAGCCTCCCTTTCCACATTCCTACAAGGAAGCTGGTTCTCATAGGGCTACTAAAAGAATAAAGAGTATATACAACAAAGCATTTAACAAGGTGCATGCCAGTTCTAGGTACCCGACAAGGAGTAACCAGTACTTCAGCACAGCCAGCCTAGCAGCCTGCTTGATCTGTGTGCCCTCAGATGTCAGACCTTGGTGCTTTCTCAGAGATGCTAGAAAGGAGCTAGCATCTCTGTGGGTTCCTTCCAAGATTCTAGCCGCACAAAAGATTAGTGAACAAGAAAGATTTCACTAAAGGTTTTCTTAGGGAGAGAAAAAAAGGGTACTTAAATCATATGCCCCAAACATATTCCAGGTCACTATCTTCTAGTTCAGCTTTCCACAGCACCTCTGGACAGCCTGCCTGGGTGGAGCCGAGTTCCCTCCACCCCCTTGCTGGGCCCTCTGCCACCTGGCTCCTTCAGCTACAGTAAGATCACACTCTTCCAGCCTAATTGGAAGAAGAGGTCAACTGTGCTCTGCCTCCTCCCTCCAAAGAGTCTCCGTGTAAACCCGGCATCCAGCTGCAGGTTAACAACCATCCATATGCTACTTGAAAATGGTCCTGAAAAACTCATACCCACCATGAGTATTTCTCATTAAAAAAACAAAATAATACCCAAGGCTTTCCCTAGGAGAAACTGAATAAAGTAAGTACTTCTTTAACCAGCACATCAAGACTGCACAATTATCTACCCCAGCTACAAACAAAACCAGTTGATTTGATTATTTACAACAGGGGGAAACATACTGGTTACCTCCTAGGCTAAACAGTATTTGTGACCACTAATAAATAAATCTAAATCACTCCATGAACCTAGGGGTAGTGACGAAACATAAAAGTATAATATACATTTAGCTTTTACAAAGGACATAAAAATAAAGGCTAATTCATAAATTTGCTCACCAAAAAAACTGGCTGAGAGTGTCTAAGTCTGCGCCTGCACACTACCTGCATGTTTTCCCTTTCTGCCCAGGGTTGGGACAACTAAACTAAAGCACAGATGTGTGCATCTCATGTAACACAGTTACCCAACTCCAAGGGGAAAACAGGAGAAATAAACGTTGTCTCTCCTGTATACTTTGACTGTTGGAAAGAATTTGTAAGACCCAAAGGATGGCTAGAACTAAAACCCCTTGGTTTCCTGATTCCAAATCCATTTTTTTTCTAAATCTTGGAAATAAAATATAACAGCAGCTGGAGACAAAATTAAACCATAACAGCTCAAAAAGCTAAAGTCTCTTGTAGGTTCCAATTTCCTAAATAAATGTAACTATGCCTAGCACGTAAATGTCACGGTGTCATGGAGAGTACTGTATGTGCTTGGGCTGCAAATTCGCTACGTGGGGATTTGTGTCCCTCTGGAAACATTAAGCTCACAAGTACAAGTATACATACCTAATATGCACTGCTCCTCACGCCAGGTCATAAGTTCTCCCTCCCCCCCCACCCCCTTCAATCTCCTAAACACTTTATCTCCTCGGACTACATGATTAGGCTTCAGGCTTAAGAAGAGGTGTGGGTTGGAGACAAATATCTAGTAACTCTGTGATTCTCAGTGGGAGCAATGTTGCCCTCCAGGGTATGAGACTGTGGTTTATAAGAAATATTTACTGGGTCTTGGTGCAGTTTCTGGCTCACAGCTCCCCAAATCCCTGGGATTTCCTATAAGCCCAGAGTGACTAAGGGGTCTTCTGTTATGTTAATGAGCTCAAGGGCAGGGGCTGCTGCCAGGAGGACCCAGAGATCCTCAGTCCCCGCTTCAAACCCTCACCTCCACCAAAGACCTCACCAACACAAGAGACCCTGTGGAGGCTGACTCGGCCAATGACTTAGTCAGTGATGCCTATGTAACAAGCCTCCATAAAACCCCAAAAGGACAGGGTTAGGAGAGCTCTGGGTTGACCACAAGGAGATGCCAGGAGAGTGGTACACCTGAAGCTCCACGCCTTCCCCAGATCTCACCCCGCATACTTCTTCAACTCGCTGTTGATTTGAATCCTTTGCGACAGCCTTTAATAAAATAAAGCTAAGTGTTTCCCAGAGTTGTATGAGCCTCTCTGGCCAATCAAAAGAACCTCCGGAGGAATGCACTGGAAGGGACAATTAATTCTCGGTGCAGTGGCCTTCTGTGCAGCCTCCGATGGGGCCTGGGTGGGAACCTATGAACGCACCCAGCGCTCACTGTGGAACTCTGAACAAGAGAGTTTCCCCTTGCGGGGCATTTATGCTTGTGCTCTTGTGTGTCATTAACTGAAGTTACCCCAAGACTGAAGGACAGAAAATGGTCTTGAACCCTGAAATGGCACGTCTAGGACGATGGTGGAAGAGCCTCCTCCTGGGAGTGGCGGTGCCTGGGGGGTAAAGGAGGACGTTCTAGGAGCAGGGGTCTCTTTCTCGCCCCCGCAGGACTGACTCTAGGACTGCCTGAGGAGCTGCTGGACTCACTGTCACGGGGATGGAGCCCTATGAGCAGCTCTCTGCCCAACAACAGGACAGCATTTCCACGGTGAATGGACAACTTCCTGTCTGGAAGGCCACTACTGACAGGAGAATATAAAAACAGACCAGCTCAGCGTGAACTGCATGCTGTCTTCCTAACAGTGATGGAAGAATTGAACAATGTTAAGAGATCCTATGTGTGGGTTTTTACTGACTCATGGGTAGTGGCCAGTAGTCCAGGCATATTGTCAGACAGGAGGGTAATGGAATCTTGGTCTATTAAAGAAATGCCTATATAGGACACAGCCCTATGGAAATAATTGTGGGTATTTATTTTGAAAGAGAGCAAGCAAGCACACATGGGGTAGGGGCAGAGAGAGATTGGGAGAGAGAGAATGCCAAGCCGACTCCATGCTGTCAGTGCAGAGCCTGACACAGGGCTTGAGATCATGACCTGAGCCAAAACTGAGAGTTGGATGCTTGACCAATGGAGCCACCTATGTGCTCTCATAATTATAAGTATCTTAGAAGTGTATTAATGTTGGACATGTCAATACCTATCAGAAGAATCACTTCCCTGGTTTGGAAGATGAGCGGATTCAACATGCAGCTACCTCTATGTGTGCCCTAGAGATGGCCACCTGGGCCCATGAAATGAGTGCATATAGGGGCACTGCAGCAGTGAAGAGACGGGCTGAATCTAGAATCTCTTACACCCTCTGAGGCACAAAGTGTCAATATGAACTGTCCTGTCTGTCCACAGGAGAGACAGAGGCCATAGGCCGTTGTATGGCAGAGCCCCTGATGGGAAGGGCCTGAACATGGCTAGGAACTCAGTTTCATGTGGTAGCCCTTGGGGATACAAATGGGTCCTGACAGGAAGAGATACTGACTCTGGACTGGACTTTGCTGACCTGATGGTAGATGCAAATACTCAGAGTGATACAGAAAACCACAAGAGAAGATATTACACAGTCAACTGTCATTTCTTCAGACCAGGGAATTCACTTTAGAGCTGATAATGTCCAACAACAGGCAGAGAGAAAGAGCTTAGAGAAATATTTTTCCTTTATTTAGTGTGTGTGTGTGTGTGTGTGTGTGTGTGTGAGAGAGAGAGACAGAGAGAGAGAGAGACAGAGAGAGAGAGAGAGAGAGAGAGAGAATGAATGAATGAGCCGGGGAAGACACAGCAAGAAGAAGAGAATCCCAAGCAGGCTCCACACCATCAGCACAGAGCCTAACGCGGGGCTTGATCTCACAACCATGGGATCATGACCCTGAGCTAAAATCAAGTGCCAGATGCTTAACTGACTGAACCACCCAGGTGCCCCTTAGAGAACTACTTTTTATTTCCTTTTTTTTTGTTGTTTTTTTACAAATAGTTTATTGTCAAGTTGGTTTCTATATAACACCCAGTGTCGAGAACTACTTTTATAGAGAACTGGAATGGGCAATTAAAACACTGGTCATCTAAAGCAGGGGAGGAGGAAATACGAAGGGCTGGCTTCCTCTAGAGAGGAAGGTGCTTGTCTTCTTTCTTTCCCAAGTTGCCTCCATGTTTCCCCTGTCACAGGACCAGGGCTGCAACTACAAGGGCTGGAAGCAAGGGTGATTCCTAACCAAGAAACTGTGACCCTACTTTTAATCTTTAGGTCAGAATTCCTAGGGGCCTGATGGGGCAGGACGTGCCTTCACCCCATCTGGAAAATCAGGGGTAACAGTAAATGCAGCCATATTGCCTGGTGTTAAAGATAAACCTCTAGTTCTGCATTTGTGTGACCTGACCTTATCTGAACTGAAGTACACTGTGGGGGAAAGGCTTGTTAGACCCGTACTGCAGCTGCAATCTAGATCAGCATAGTGGCCAAATCTAATATCCCTTCCAAAGGCAGAAAAGCTCGGGTACTAAAGCAGTAAGGAAATGAATAAATGGGTTATAAAATGAGGGAAATCCAATATTAAACTGACACCTCGAGAGGGGCTCAGAGAAAGAGGTATGGTCTTAGCTCGATTATACCAGAAGGGGTGAAGCCTGACATTGCTGAGATCACTCCTGCTTTTGGAACTGACCAGATCACACAGAAGCCTGCAAACCTGAGTGGCCTTGCCCTGGGAGACAACTGCATAAGATGTGAGGATGGAATGAAAATGTATCAGTGACTGAATAAATTTCTAGTAGTGCATCAGCATCTTTTAACTTTTATCGTTGTTTTGCTGCGAGGGATCCATGTTCAAGGACCACAGGATGGACTACCGTACTGTGATGTATACGAAGTATGTATTTGGTCATTCAAAGGGACAATGTCTTCAGACAATACTGGTTGTCATGACTGACAAGTGTAGGGGTGGAGGAATGTTTCTGGTATCCAGTGGGCAGAGGGCAGTGAAGCTGCAAAATGTCCCACAATGCAAAGGACAGCTCCTACCACAAAGAACTACAGTCCAAGATTTCTGGATTTTTTTAAAAATTTATTTGCCAGACAGAGAGCGCGAACAGAGGCACGCTCTACCAGGGGAGGAGCAGAGACAGAATCCCAAGCAGGTGTGATCCTGTGAACCTTGAGACCATGACGTAAGCTGAAATCAAGAGTCGGATGCTTAACCGACTGAGCCACCCAGGCACCCTAGTCCAAGACTTTAATAGTGCCGAGGCTGAAAAACTCCACGGTAACTAGGTTCTAGTACAAGAGATAAAGAAACTGAGGCCCAAAGAAGTTAACTCGTTCAAGATCAGTGCCAACAGGGGAGTTTCTTCTGAGGAGAACTGAACTTTCATGGCTCTGAGTGCACTTGTGTACTTCTGGTAGAAAAGAGGCGCTCAGCATGCTCACTCAATCGATGAGTGCCGACAGAACTGTGGTCACCAGCCCTAACTTTCCAAGGAAAGAGGCTGTAATTCACAAAATAGAAATTTCACGCTGTGTAGGTCACTAGTAAAACACCCAGTCTCTAATGTTCTCTAAATCTGACTTAAATTAACATCTATTTTTTGCTCACTTTTCAGCAAACCTGCCACACAACGCAAAAAAGATCAGTATTTACTGTTTCGTTTTCAGATATTTGCAAAGCCTATAGAATTGTTAACAGTATACTTAAAGCCATGAAACTGATCATTTATATCAACCAAAACCAGAGAAGATTACCACTAAAGGTAAAATAATTCACATTCAAATAAAATCATGAGCATTCAAGTCTTAGTGTGTCCAAGCTTTAATGTGATAGACTCTAAAGACAAGAGGGGGGAGGGACAGACAGAGTGAGGGGGGAGGGGCAGACAGAGCGGCGGTGAGGGGGGGGGACAGAGGATCTGAAGCGGGCTCTACACTAACAGTAGAGACCCTGATGCGGGGCTAGAACCCAAGAACTGTGAGATCATGACCTGAGCCAAAGTCAGACGCTTAATCAACTGAACCACCCAGGTTCCCCAAATTTGTACTTTAGAGGAGAAAGAAATATTACCTTGATTGCTAGAAGCACCAGAAAGTGATAAAAATGAAAGTGAATCTTTAAAGATGTTCATACAATGATCTAAAATACCATTTGGCCTTAAAACAATCAAATTTATTATTAAAATCATTTTTATAGTTTCCTTAATGTAGCAAAAAGTATCTTTTACTACCAAACTCCAAATTGCAGATCTTATGTTTTAAAAACTGACTCTCACACTTGGATATGTGTTATGTGGAGTTAAAGAAAGGGGGACCCCAAATGATTAAACTTCAGGATAGTTTATGCTAAAGCATTGGAAATTTCTTGGCTGTATGCTAACTGTGATACTAGAACAGTATTTTTACCCCCTAACAAAATTAAGAACATAGACTTTAGTTTGGTGTTTTATTTCAGTGAAAACGCCGATGTTTTATCTCCTGGAAAAGCATTAAAATAAAAAGCATGACTTTAGAACTATGTCATCTTCATAAATAATATTCACAAAACCTTAGTGTTTCTCACATGAGGTAAAGTAGAAGCAGACGGCGGCTGCAGACTCCGCAAGCACAGCTGGGCAGCCCGCACGCTGCACCGCCCGAGAGGGTCTCCACCACAGACAAAGTGTACTCAACGCTGCCGGCCCAGGAACCGATGCAGCAGTTTGAAACTGATCCAGCCTTCCTCCTTGGGGCTAATACACAGCCATGAACCTCCACTGACGAAAACCACAAATAGCTTCAAAAAAGCGACAACGGTAGGCTCTTCTTTCACATATCATTTTAAGTATTGATTGTTAAGATGTCATTCTCTAACAGTCTTGAAAAATGTAAAAACCACCTCTGATTTTTTACTTTTCAGTTACCTCGAACAACTGTATTGTTGCGTCACTTCAACATCCCTGCATGTGCTGCAGCCACAAAACCAGGCTTTTTAGCCACTGATTTCTGACAAACTGGCATCCCCAATGCAGCACCAGCAACTCTGGGTGATTCTATGTGAAATGTGCATCATTGAGGAGCCTAAGAGAATCCTCCCCATCTCCTTCCCCCAAATCCTTGATTAAAGTTCTCTATTTTTTCTAGTCTGCAATACTATTTTTGTGTTTTTCATAGTTAAAATTTAAAAACAATGCTATTAACTAAAAATAAGATCTATGAAAACTGTAAAGCTAAGAAAATTAAAAATATTTTCATATACGCTTTATCATCTAAAAGTGATAACTTAAACTTTAAAGAGTAAGCCTTTAAAGTTTAAGTTTTAAAACTCTTGGAACTTATTTCTATTCACACCATTACAAATCAAGAGTTCTTATAAAATAGCAATGCTGAAATATGATATTTTTAACTCACAGGAGACAGGATCATGAGTCTTAACTATTTATACTACAGGTATCCTAAGATTTCAGTTGCATACAAGTACCTTGTTTAAGGCATCTAACGATTAAGAAACTGAAATTATCAAAATTACTTGGGTTTTGACAGAAAAAGAAATAAAACCACTCTCTGAGACTATTTTTAAGAAGGTCGCTGATACACAGAAACTTTTAGCATCTAATTAAAGATCACTAAGGGTTAAATACTTGTTCTCTGGCCCCTACTGCGAACACCGTGCCAAAAAGTCCTCTAAGCTTTTAAATATTGCATCGATGGTCTGCGCTTTTTCTTCCAGGGAAAGAGAGCGCTGTCCCGCAGTCAGCAGGCCACCAGCTCACCCAGCGCGCACCGGGGCTTCTGCTAGCATGCGGGCGCTGCGGCCCGCGCTTCTCCTGCTGCTGTCCGTGCCTCTGGTACAGCCAGCACCTCCCGCTCAGCAGGGCCCACGCGTCACCTATCACTATGGGGCAGACCATCCTGAAGAAACCTTGTTTAGTCAAGACTCTGAGGATAAATCTCTGGATGGAAAAAGTATTAAGGTACTTTATTTCTACTCTAAATTTAACTTCTGAAATAGTCACCCATTTAGATGCAGGTTTTTGTTTTTTTAATGTGTCTGACAAGTTTAAGGGGAAAGAAAAAGCACTTGTAATGATTGAAAGTAACTGAAAATTACTGTCCCCAGGATTATACTTCTAAAGTATGCATGCCTCCCAAATTAATAAAAAGAATCTATGGTAACTAAACAGTATCTATAGCAACCGAAACAAAATTTAAGGAAACTAAACTTTAAGATGATCTCTTACCTGTTGAAGATTTATAAGTAATGTTATAAAATGCCCTATAATTCCCTATTATATTGCCTCCAAATAAAATAGGACAAATGTGTATCAGAAGAAACAATCTTGGATTACCAACTTAAGATTTATTAATTTAGGAAGAAGTGGTTCATGAAAATGCATACTTATTTTGGGGTCTATAGCATTTCACTTACATATGCCAACTATGCATGGTACCAAAATATGAAAAACTCCTTAATGTGGGGCTTAATTTTTAATCAGTTTCAACAATTCAGACTTTTATCAATTTGTGTCAAGTGACTGTAAATTGTCCTTGAGTTAAGATTCTGCAGAGATGACTTGCTACCACATCTTTCGTACTCCACTTGCACAGGCTGAGTAATCACTTGTGGTTTTCTTGGCACACAGAAATGAACGCTGGGTAAGGAAAAAGTTAATGCAGCACATAAGTATCTGGTCCTGCCTACTGTGTGTGCATGTGCGTGTGTGTCTTACACACACAGAATGGAAAATGAAAAATGAGGCCAAATATATAACACTGACTGCTTTTTTTTTAGTGCACAATGACTAAATGTTAACACTATAATTTCTTTCAATGGAGCTGGTTAATATGCTAAGTATTATTTTTGCCCAACATTAAGACAAAAAAGATAGGTATCACTAGTTATATAGTTCCAGATTTTTTTTAAAAAGGCCTATCATACCAATAAGCTGTTGGCTCACATGGATGATTAGAATCTATCAATTAAAAAAAAAAAACTTTCAAAACTCCATGGTCCCTGAAAAGTAGCAAGTAAGTTCTCTGCTTCTTCTCTCTACATTGCTTTAGAAGTCTGTGCTCTTGATGCAAATACAGGGACTAAGACATCTGTGGAGTGGAGGAGAATTCAACAGCACCTGAGGGGAGGGCTGTTCCAACAGCACCCACGTGGAAGGATAAAGGAGTCAAGATGGACATGAAAGGGGAATATGCTTCTGGAGGGCACAGACTGGGCCCCATACAACCTATGTTAATCTAATGGCAGAAAATGTTCTCTCCCAAGACAGGAAAAAGTGATACAGACCACCAGAACAAACAGCGTGGACTGAGGGCCCAAGTGGGGTGGGCAGGGCATAATAAAATGATTCCAAGTGCCAGGGTGTTATGCAGGCATGAGGTAATGAGGGGTCACTTGCAGAAGAAGCCAAATGTTTACTCTATGCCCGACACATGTGACGTGACTAGTGCTTCAGTCCTGCTGTGGTAGAATCTCGTTATCAGGAACTCAATTAACACAAGACGACACATAATCCCAGGACCATGGGGTCCAGCCCTGCTTCAGATTCTCTCCCTCTCTTCCTCTGACCTTCTCCCCAGCACTCTCTCTCTCAAATTAAAAAAAGAAAGAAAGAAAGAAAGAAAGAAAGAAAGAAAGAAAGAAAGAAAGAAAGAAAGAAAGAAAGAGATAAGACCATAAAGAATAATTAAGACACCTACTCTATATGAAGATGGTCCCATTTCCGGTTCCAACTCAGAAAAACACATTCTGTGTTGGAGAGTTCCCTCTGGTCCCCATTTGGAATTTCAATATATTCAACATTTAGAAGGCAAAGGCACTGATTTAGGGTTTTAGAGATTAAAAAAAAAATAATAAAAAAGACCTGGTTCTTTCACTCAAGGAGTTGACAGTATGGAGTAGAAACAAGGTAAACAAATATTTACCTTATAAATTAATGAATGATAAAATAGAATTATGCACAAAATCCTACTGTAGCACAAAAGAAATGTCACTAACTGTGACTGTGAGAAGGCAGGTGTTGTCTATGACCCTCAGTTTTATAGTCAAAATCAGGCTTTATCACACCTGATAACAAATTTTTATTTTTTGAATAGGAAAAAGAAACTACGATAATACCCGATGAGAGAAGTGTTCAATTACAAAAAGATGAGAGTGTAACACCATCACCCCCCAAAAAAGAAAGTGATGGTAAGTATGCATACCCTGTCATCTCATATCTCACAAAGAGCAGTAATAAATAGGTTATTATGGAATCTTATTCCTTACAGTAGTAAAAAATGGCCTTAGGATACAGTAAATTCAAACAGTGGCATTTTATCTCCAGTGATAACGTCAGCTGGTATGTTGGGAGTGCAAATAATTTGCCATCCCACATTCTGAATGACAAACATGGAACAGGAACATTCAAAAATAACCAAAGTACAAGTTGAGCCTCTACAAAGTGTGTGCTTCTGTCTATATAAAATCCCTTCAAAAAAACAGTCATTTAATATCAACTATCCACAAATACTATGTACAGCCTGGGGATAAGGGAAATAAGATGTAATTCTTAACTTCAAGAAACTCACAGAAGACATAAAGACTGCTTATATATGAATAATTATGATATACATTTCAATTCAAACAACAGAAAATGTACAAAATAACAAAAGTCCTTCTCAATAGCTCCTATCTATTTGCTTTATTTTTGTTCTATCATGGAAAGGCATTTCACAGGACAACATGAAATAAAATCACACACTAATTAGAAAGACATCCCTTGCTCTTGGATAGGATGACTCAGTATGGTAAATATGCTACCTCTTCCTAAATTTATAACAATAACCTTCTTTAAAGTGCTGGTAAGGATGATTCTCAAGTCCATGTAGAAAAAATCAAACCTGAATGAACAGTCAGGGAACCACTGAAAAAGTCCAGGTATCTGCAGGAACCAGACTTAACTAGATATTAGAATATACTTCAACATCTCTGTATTTGAATATGTATGATACTGGTACATGAATAGCATGCGAAGTTCAGAAACAGAACAGAAACACATGGAGAAACTTAGTATATAATAAAGAAGGCATCTTAAATCACTTCTGAAGCAAAGACGGTATTTTTAAAGATTTTATTTTTAATCTCTACACAACATGGGGCTCAAAGTTACAATCCTGAGATCAAGAGTCACACGTTCCACTGACTGAGCCAGCTGGGAGCCCTAGAGATGATATTTTTAAAAAATGGTGTTGAACCCTGAATGCAATGTTACACTGTATGTTAACTGACTGGAATTTAAATAAAAACTTTAAAAAACTTAAAAAATAAATAAAATATGCTGTTGGACAAATGAATAGTCAACTGAAAAGGGATATAGTAAGATCCATACTTATATAGAAAAATAAACCCCTCCAAATATACTCGGGCCAAAATGTAAAAAGTGAAATGATATAAATACTAGAAGATAAACTGTGTGTGGGATGCCTCATAATCCAGAGTAAATAATAGAAAAGATCAATAAATTTGACTCCGTGAAATCAAACTTTTCCATGGGAAAGAGCATCAGAAATGAAGTCAAGCACAACTGAAAAATAAGAAAAATGGAAAAAATTTAATACCTCTAATTTATAAAGAACATAAAAAAGCCAAGAAAAAGAAACTGGCCAAAAATCCACTGGAAAAACCAGAAGATGGATAGACAATTCACAAAATGATATAAAAATGGCCCTTTAACATATGAGAAGTTGTTCAATCTCACACATACAGAAATATAAGTTTAAATTATACTAAGACAAAAATTCTTAACTTATTTCAAGGACAAAAATTAAAACTGTCACATTAAGTCAATATAATCCATTGGCAAGGCCATGGGGTATCACACCCCTTCATACACTGCTCATAGGAATACAAATACATACAATGCCTTTGGATAGGAATTTGGCAATACCTAACAAAGCCAATACTCACTCACTTTGTGACATAGCAATCAACTTCTAGGAATTCACTCTAAAGATACACCTCCAAGAGTAAGAAAATACATACGCAACATCACTGGAGCACTGCTTGCAAATGCAAAACTCTGGTAAAAATCTAACTGCCCACACAATGAAGAGAAGTTGAATAAAATATGGCAAGTTCAAACAAGGGCATACTATACAGTTGTAAAAATGAACAAAGAAGATCTCTAGGAACTAACATGAAGTGATTTGCAAAATATATTATATGAAAAAACCCAAAGTGCAAAGGAGTATCTACAGTATGCTACCTTTCATCCAAGAAAGACAGAGATACAAGAAAATATACATTAGCTCACTTGTGTGAAAAGACACTCAAGAAAGGTAATTTAAACGTGGCAACTAGTTACCTACATGTTATAGATGTGACCAGGGGTGGCAAGGAGGGAGAGATGGACACTGGTAGGGTGGGGGAACGGGAGGGTGTAGAACTTCTCTGAGTATACATTTTCTCCGTAGATTGGGTTTTCTTTTCTTTTGGTAAGATTTTATTTATTTACTTGTTTAAGTTTAGTTTTGAGAGAGAGAGCACGCACAAGTGGGAGAGGGACAGAGATAGAGATAGAGAGAGAGAGGTAGACAGAGGGTGGGGGGGAGGAAGAGAGAGAGAGAGAGAGAGAGAGAGAGAGAGAATCCAAACCAGGCTCCAGACTGTGAGCTGTCAGCACAGAGTTCAACATGGGGCTTGAACCCATGGACTATGAGATCATGGCCTGAGCCAAAGTCAGCCACTTAAACGATTGAGCCACCCAGGTGCCCCTGTAGACTTGGTTTTAGAACAAGGTTATATTTCACACAGGTAAACAAACACATTTATAAATAAAATCTACAAGGATAAGATTTAGAAAATTGGCATACAGATACAATTTCATTTCAAATGAATAAAACACTAAAGTGAAAAGAAAAATTAACCTAAGTAACCCTTAAACACACTGTTTTGACTATGAAATTCCAGGCTACAGACAAAACAGAATGGACAAACACTGAAATTCCAGCACGCAGGTTTGTTTTCCACAGCAATGCAACCACTTAATGTGAGGCCTAGCCCCGAGTGAGGTACATGCCCTGGATAACAAGAGTCAGGTTTCTCAGTCAGAGAAGGTGCTACAGACATGTTGGGGGAAGGCCAGAGCGGACACTGTGGAGTTGGACTGGAGCAAGCGATCAGCACCAACTCATGGTTTGTGTGCAGAGATAAAGAAATAGGTACAGTCACACCTTGTTCTACTGTGCCTCGCTTCACTGCACTTCGCAGACACTGCATTTTCACAAATGGAAGGTTTAGGCAACCCTGTGTGGAACAAATCTTTTGGCACCATTTTTCCAAACTTGTTCATCGTTCGTTATTATATTTGTTTTGGTGATCTGTGATCTTTCATGTTACCGTGCTAAGCTGAGGCACCACTCATATGGTGGTGAGCCAGCCCATATGAGACAGTGAACTTAACTGACGAACACTATGTGTTCTGACTGCTCGCCCGCCACCCCCCATCTCTCTCCCCTTCCTCAGGCCACCCTATTCCGAGACACAACAGTACTGACATTAGGCCGATTCTGAACCCCACAAGGGCCTCCAAGTGTCCAAGTCAAAGGAAGAGTCACATGTCTCTCACTGTCAATCACAAACTAGAAAAGATTAAGCTTAATGAGGGAGACAGGTCGAAACCCAAGACGGGCCGAAATCTAGGCCACTTGTGCCAAACAGGCAGCCAAGTTGTGAAGCCAAAGGAAGAGTTCTTGAAGGACACTGTGCGCACGTGCTACTCCAGTGAACACACGGGTGATGAGAGAGTGAAACGGCCTTACTGCTGATGGGGAGGAAGCCTGGCTGGTCTTCCAGGAAGACCAAAGAAGAGCAAAGCAGCCACAACGTTCCCTTCAGCCGAAGCCTCGCCCAGAGCAAGGCCCTGACTCTTCGATCCTGTGAAGGCTGCGGAGGTGAGGAAGCGGCAGAAGGAGAGTTGGGAGCTGGCAGATGTTGGTTCGGGAGGTTTCAGGAAAGAAGCTGTCTCTGTAACGGCAACGTGCAAGGCGAGGCAGCGCGTGCTGACGCAGAAGCCGCGGCGATTATCCCGAAGATCTGGCTGAGAGGATTCATGAAGGTGCTCACACTAAACAGCAGTCTTTCCATGCAGATCGAAGAGCCTTCTGTGGGAAGAGGAGGCCACCGAGGAGTTTCATAGCTGGAGACGAGAAGTCGGTGCCTGGCTTCAAAGCCTCGAGAGACAGCCTGACCCTGGGTAGGAGCGAATGTCGCTGGTGACTGGAGGTGGAAGCCAGTGCTCACTGGTCACTCGGAAGTTCCTAAGCCCGTAGCAATTGTGCATAATCTCCTCCGCCCATGCTCTTTATGTGGAACAACAAAGCCTGGCAGACAGCACATCTGTCTACAACATGGCTGCCTGAGTAGTGTAGGCCACTGCTGAGACTTGCTGCTCAGGAGAAAAGACTCCTTCCAAAATATTACTGCTCAACGACACTGCACCAGGTCACCCGAGAGCTCTGATGGAGACGAGCGATGAGATCACTGGTGCTTTCGCGCCTGCTGCCACACCACCACCATTCTGGAGCCCGCGGATCAAGGGGCAATTCTGACTTTCCAGTCTCATTATTTAAGAAATACCGTTCGTGAGGTCACGGCTGCCGTCCACAGTGATTGCTCTGATGGATCCGGGCAGAGTAAATGGAAAACATCGTGGAAAGGAGTCGCCATCCCGGAGGCCATGAGGAACACTTGTGATTCATGGGAAGAGGTCAGAATTCAACATGAACAGGACTTGGGAGGAAGTTGACTCCAGCCCTCGGGGAGGACTTTGAGGGGTTCAGGACTCCAGGGGAGGAAGTCACTGCAGACGTGTGCAAACGGGAGAACAGAAGCAGAAGAGGGGCCTGAAGACGGCACGGAGCTGCCGCCACCTCAGGATAAAACTCGAACGGAGGAGGACCTGCTTCCCGTGGATGAACAAAGAAAGTGGTTTCCTGAGACGGAAGGTGCTCCTGGTGACGATGCCGTGAAGACTCTCAAAATGACAACACAGCATTGAGAAAGTCACACGAATTTAGCTGACAGAGCAGCCACAGGGTGGGACAGGATGGACTCTAGTTTTGAAAGAAGTTCTGCACGTAAAATGCTACCAAACAGCATCACATGCTACAGAGAAATCGTTCCTGAAAGAGAAGTCAGTCAATGTGGCA